TTAATTTTTGGACTGATTTTCTGAAGTGCTTGAATACTGATCAACTCACTGAAAATTTGATGGAAATTGAAAATTCTTTGAGATACACGATAAAGCAATGTCCAGTGATTTGTTATAATTTGATGGTGATGTTGTTTATCTTGACAGTTTTTCAATTTATTTATGATATGCTTAACAAGCATCATATGAGTAGTATATTTTAACATTTCAAATGATTTTGAATAGGATTCATTGTTCAAAAGTCCTAAGAGGAGTGAAGAAAGAATAAACGACATCATAGTAAATGGAGACAAAAAACACAATGAAGAAAATCACAGTTGATTTGCTCACTTCATCAATAAATAATAAGAAAACTGATAGAAGTATCCAAAAGTGGATGTTTGGAGTCGAACCTGGTCTCAGAGTCCTGTCTCTTAGTTTTGTTTCATTTACACCGTTGAATAGTCCTAAAGTTCAGCCGAATACGTTTTTCAGTCCTTCCAGGTTTTCCATATTTCTGTAACTAAATAGTCTCATTGAGTTATACAGAAATAGAGATGCCAACGTGAATAAATCTTTTCTCGGCGATATCATCTTATGCAACTGTACAACCGCATTTAAATATAATCACTGTACATATTCGTTGGTAAAGCAAACGTATCAACATTTGTTAGTCGATAATTGTTATACGACTATCACCAGTAAAATAATAGTATGGGAATGGAAGTTATACAAGAAGCATGCGTATATTTAACAGTCTAAATAACTACCTGCCAGTTGAAATCAAGAATTAGTAGCAAAGGAAGTGAGTATTTACCAACTTTCGTCATCTCTAGTGGAATATCCGAATATCTATGAAAGGATGATTATGTTGCGCAGCAGTTCGGCTATGAGAGATGGGTTTTACAAGTAGAAGACATAAAGCGGTCACATATGTCTTCGTAGCATTGCACATGTTTGCTGGAATCACCATGTTGAAGTCAGACGAAGGGTAGCAAGCAAGAAAGGCAAGTCGGTTGATGAATTTGTTAACCTAAGTCGATTGGGATGGCTTCGATGTATACTGCCTATGCCTAGATCACGTTGAAAGTTGAGAGTTGTCAGCGATTCGGTTGTGAATAGACGACACAGTTGAAGGCATTTCGACTTCAGAGTTAGGCACTCTGTAAATTACTCTAGAGAAACTACTAAGATTGGTTAGATGTCTGGACATGCAAAGTGTTGAAGAATAGAACAGTTGATATTCTTCCAATCTCTCCTCTGGATCGTCAAGCTGGACAATATTTCATGATAAAAACTACTTTTTTTCTTTGTGGTTGTAGTAGTAGTAGAAACTATTTGGAACATGTAGATGAGCATAGTGTTTATACTTCATCAGATATTGGTAACTTTCATTTCACTTACACCTGCGCAAACAGGTGCATCGCAATATTGACAATTTGAGCGTGCATATATACTTTGCATTGCTGCTAGACTTCTCACTTTAGTTGATTTGTTAAAGCAGTTTAAACAGATTGGCAACGGTTGAAAGTCATTGCCATGGTGCCCAAAACTCTTTCAGAAAGTTCTGAAATCATATAAGATGTAAGTTGTTTCTAGATACGTTTTTTGAAGAAATAAAAAAAATGGTACTAATCATGGTGCTTCCCATGATATTCCTGATTGTAGTGGACTGGATCATGCAACAAACAGTGAGAAACGAGAAGACGAGGATACACTGGACCGGGGAAAAGAACCTAGAAGATTTGGATATCGCCGATGACTTGTGTCTAATGTCACACAAACTCGGAGATCTACACGTGAAAACTAACAAGTTGACACAAGAGGCAGGGCAGGGCAGCGAAGAAGGGACTTCAAGTGGACGTAGAGAAGACAGAGGTGATAAAGACACCCAACCACCACCACCAACAACAACAACAGGAAGCTCTAATCACCATCAATGGGAGAAACCTGAAGGAAGTGGCCTCTTCCACCTGTCTAGGCAGCATCGTTTCAACTACAGACGGAACAGGCACAGACGAGGATGTCAAAGCCAGGATCGGAAAGACAGCATTACAGGCCTTCATTAACCTGTGGAGATCAGCGTGGAGATCTTCTGCACTCAGCATGTGGAACAAGATCCAGATTTTCAACACCAACGTCAAGTTAGTGCTTCTTTGTCATAATTGAGAGACTTGGCGGGTTACGAAAGGGATTTTCAACAAACTACGGACATTTATCAACAACTGCCTACGCTCGTCACTGAAGCTCAGATGACCAGAAAGTATAAGCAACAAGGAACTCTAGCTGGCTGATAACGAACCAACCAAGAACCTGTCGTTTGGCAAATAGGCAGTGGAAGAAAGTGGAGATGGATTGGGCCAGCACTGAGAAGACTATTCGGGGACATCACACGCCAGTTTCTCGAGTGGAACCCAGATGGGAAGCGACGAGTCGGGCGTCCAAGGTGAGGGTGACATGGAGGAGATGGTGTGAGGAAGAAATCAGAGCTTGTGGGCTGTCGTGGAGCGAGGTTGAAAAGATTGCAGAGAGTGTAATGGAGACGTGCTAGTGGAGCCCTATGTTCCACTAGGAACCCAAGGGACAAATAATAATAATAATAATGCTTAAGACCTTCTAATCAAGGGAATCTCTTGACAGACACCTTAGCATTTCAGCAACTTCTAATCATTGCCTGTTCTTTTCTGTCCTTGTCGGTTCATTCTTATTTTAAGCTTTGAATCTTGCATACTGTATCGTCACATATCTACTCAAGCAAATAGCCAGAGACGAAATTCTTCTTCTTACATGGATGATGCGTTGGAGATTCAGCTACTTACAGAGTGTTGCTGACCAGTTTTTGGAATTTCTAAATATTAACATAGATCATACTGTTCTGAAGTATTTTAATAAACCAGTGTCTTTTCTTATTCAGCTTAGTGACTAGCAGTGGAATTCACGGCGCGCGCTACGTACCATTTAGGAATCATTAATCAGCTAGATGTAGTTGCATTCCAGCGAGTGATATTGTTCTCACTGAGACTCGAACCCAGTACCAATCGCTTCAAACCTCTAAGCGTTATCATCTGATGAACAGAAGCCATACCAGTGGATAACGCTTCTGTGTTTGAAGCGGTGTCTCTGTAGGAACAACAACACTTGGCTACATCCAGCTGAATAGCGACGCAAACCAGTTATTAAACTGTAAGCAATGTAACCATTAAATCAAAGTATACCCGACCAAGTTTAAATGGTAGCTACTGAGCTAAGTGATGAAACACTGATGTATAATGTTTACATGTCTTTAGCTACAGCACACATCGACAAGGATTTGAATCTTCAAGGAGATGTACGTTTTCACAAACAAGGTTCAGAAATCCTTTGAAGATAAAACCGAACAAAGATGAAAACCTTATTACAAGAGTTTCTGCTAATTAAACTCTTGTATCTGATATAGAAAACAACTGTACAATGTTCATCTTATCGTCTTAATCTGTGCATATAAATATCTATATGATGGAATGAACTTGAATAGCGTCAAAAACGAAAAATAGTGAAACATATTGTGACCTTATTTTATGCATTTAAAAGAGTCTTCTCAACTAGATGTTAGTTGGATAGAGGTAATAGCCAGGAAACCCAGCACCTAGGTTCCATAGTTGTTGGCACTTGTTAGCAAGGCGCATCTGTAATCTTGACAGAAATGATGTCCCACCTGAGATTCAAGCTTGCGTCACCTAGTGTTGACCTCCTGTAGGACTGGGCTACATACATTGATTGGCCAGGGGAGAGAAACCAATTTCACGTCATCTACTTCTGAGTGTTGAACAAATTCTACTGATCATATTTGCAATGTGCTCACCAAGTTTTTACCACTGCCTTCACCATAATATAGATTGTTGAAACTCTATTATTCCTTTTTTCATTCCTTCATATCTCTAGGTCATTCATACTCAAATCTTGTTTAATCACTGACTTTATCCTTCGTTATTTTACGCAACTTTATTGCTCTTTTCCAAGCTCTGATTTACTTTGCTTGCTGACACACTAGTTTACACTATAACACTACTCTCAATGTTCTTACCATCCCTCATACAACGGGAAACTTTAAAGGCTACCCTGGCAACTGATAAAATAACAAATCAGGTTTCGGTATTCCTGATAGAAAAGCAGTTTTTCATAAAATATAGTAGCTTAATTGGTTACCTTAACAGTTGTTAGGGTGCCGTTTAAGGTCACCACATACTATCACTACTTTTAGTACTCAAACGTGCATAATCCCCTTTTTTGTTATTGTAGATCAACGAATTACTTCGATTGGCTTATACTTTATGGATATTTATAATGATGCTGAGTGTTTATTAAAGGTGAAATGAAAATTAGGATCACGGCTGAATTCGAAGCAGCGACCATCTGCTTTCCATTCTCGTGCTCTACCAACTGAGCTACGAAGTACGACTGCTGACCAGATTTTTATTTCGCTTCAATCACTAAGGGTTTTACTCAACTACCATGCTAATTCGTGACCCGTTACTATCACTTGATTGGATTCACAGTGATATACATACGTGTATGAAAATCTATGCATGTTGGGGTAAAGCTTGATGCTATCTAGTTGGAAATAGTAATTTTCGCTTACATGCCTTTTTATAATGCGTATTCGTTAGTGTTATTGCTTGTATTAAACCGTCGTCGATTGGACCGATTTGATCAGTCTCTGTTGGCATATGGGCTCGTTTGCGGATCCCTTGATATTGCCTGTGTTTTAATTATGTATAGTAATGAAGGATAATGGTGCACATTTCGTCCTGTTCGGGACTCATCAGCTGGATAACGCTCTCGCGTTTGAAGCGATCGCTCCCGGTCCGAATCCCGGTGGGGACAACATCGGTCACTGGGAGGCAGGTACATCCACTGCTAGCCACTACCAATCATTACTATGTATTCGTTAATGTTTGGAATAACGTTGTCGATGAAGCTGATTTCTTGATCTTAATAATCTGTTTTTCTCATCCGTTTTCATTCTCTTATAAATATTCTAGCCTACTAATAATTAATTAGTCTTACTAACCAATCTAGTGTTTGCATTCCTCTGGGTTGTTCCACATTTTTCCGAATCTGGATTCTCTTCTGTTAACACCAATACGATCTTTTCAACTTGATAAAAGTGAGTGATTTTTTACTTTATAAAAATGTATACAATTTCATAGTGTGTAGCTTGTAAACAGCTGATGAGAATCGACGAAACAAGAATTAACTTATATTATCTTACTTCACTTGTTGTAATTCTTTTCAAAGAAAGATGATAAAACATGGACAAAAATGAAATCATTGATTATGTAAGCTCAAAATATGCTTAGTTGATTTATTTACACAGTAAACATTCATCAGTGGGGATATCTTCCAACCAACTAACTTCTTCTAAAGTTCAGTGTGGCGATCGATAGAATTCAGCCAGCACTCACGACTAAAAAACATGAAATTACTTACTTTCCAGTAACCAATTAAGGCCTTTAATATAGTTCTACGGATAGTCAGTCGTGGTCTGAACAGTTCAACGGAAAAGCTACAGATTGCAGTATTGGGTGGTACAGGTTCGAATCTCTCGAGTGACAGCATTTTTCCTAACGTTTTAGATATTTCTTCCTTGCTGACAAGCGTCCAGAAAACCAAAACCTGGGTTCAGTAGGTCTATCATCTGACTGTCTCCAACTACCTAACATAAATTCTCATCTAAACAAATCGAGATGATTGTCTTCCAAGTTAAATTAGTTTATGACGTATCAGAAAAAGTATTGAATATCAATGTTGACAGACAAACATTCTCATTCTACTTAGGTTACAATTGTTTGTCATTAAACATCGATTACATTTATGAAAAACTGGACAAAAACAACCGATCGAAGAAACTTTAAAATACCCTAGATCTCAAGGAAAACCCCTTTCTCTCAAGTCTGTTAACAATTTAAATCAAACCAACTGTTTGAAAAATACATACTCTGTGATAAAGAATCTCACCATGGTTTCCTATGGAAACCAAAATATTCAGATCGTATGATGTATAATCTCAACACCACCTCACATTGATCAGCAGTCCTTGAACTAAATACTTGTGGGTGGCCGTCTCACTCGTTCAAGGCATAGCTCATCACCATTTCACTGTGTTCTCTGCAAACTTTTTAATCTGACTCTACGACTGCCCAGCAGCTTTCATTTCTTCCTCATACGATCTCCTTCATCTCATCCTCGGACACCCTTGCCAAGTTTACTAGCCGGTCCTAAGCTCGGATAAGGAGGGAAGGTTGGGTTAGCATAGGGCAAACAACCCTACCCCGTAAAACCAATTCAATTGCTAATGAAACTTTAAATCACAGAGAGAATATAAAAATACAAATGATTATATTACCTGAATTTAATAACATTAGGCATTGCATACATCCCCATTCAAAATTGTCGAAATTATTTTTTTTCAGGTTAGTAATTAGTGAAAATAAACAATTAGTTAGTTGATTATTCCAACTTGTACAATTTTGTAATATATCTTTAGCATTCACATAAGTTTTTTCCACACCAGAATTATTTTGATGTATATTCAACTTGACAACAGCTAGTGGATTGTCTGTCAATTGACTTCTTTTACTATATGAAAGGCATTCATCAAATTTGTAATGCTTAAAATGATTATAATTATACACAGTGCAGATGATTGATTCAATCTCTTTCACAATATCATCATCTTGACTATTTGTTGAGTTGAGCAGAATCTTGAACAAAAAAAAGAATAGGTAATAAAATAAAGGTGAATGAATAATTTTAAAATATCATCAGTTACACAGAAAAATAAGATTACTAATGTTTAATATATAAACTAGAAAGGTAGATGGATTAGTGTAAATGGTGACAGTATTATTTTGAACACTTCTAAAGATAAAGAGAAAAAATTGAAATGGTTAGATATGTTAGATAGTTGAAGGTAATCTACACGAAGGCTTGATCAATATAGAGTTTACGCTTTTCGGCACTCGGTAACGAGGTGTATCTACAAAAATTGAAGGGAACTCATGTGCAATAAGAGAATCAAAGCTTCTTTGCCCAGTGTTGTAGTCCGAAACGTACTACCAAGCTGTACAGACAATGTTAGACCTCCTGTTGGATTAGATGAGATACACTTTCAGTCAATAATAGAGAAAACAATTTCATGTCTCCTAGCCCTATACACTGGTCGAATTCTGCTAGTCACCTTGTAATATGATCACCAAACCAAGAGACTCAGCAACACTGTACACTTTGGTTGATTGCACCCTAATTAACTCATTGGTAATGTTCGTGACCTCAGAACTAGGCAACATGGATTCTCATCTCTTAAGGGAAGGGAGTTCACTCAAGGTTGTAGACATGCCTTGGTAAAGAGTGTCAACCAGCACGAAAACTAGGTCAGTCAAGGTTTCCTGCCGATCGCCTCCAACCACATGATATCAATTAAAGTGCACCATGATGGTAAGTCTTCTAGCTTGGTGAATTCACCCGGCACTGAGGAGTAAACACCATGAAGCTGATTATTTCCCAGTGAACGGTCAATGTATAGCTAGATATCCATAGACAGTATCCCATTTCATTTTCCCTTTATTTACAGCATGAAGAATTAGAATGTATTCTTTAGAATAGAGTAACTCATTCTTCTTTCATCTTTATATATTACGCGGTAGGTAATGTGAACGTAGTAGTAACAAAAGAGTAAGTACTGGCTATACCGAGCTTCAACACTCCCATTGTCTGTAAAATAATCAATCGTAATGAGCATAAAAAGTTGTCATTCTTTTCAAGTAACTGTTTTCAAGAGAAAAATATTGAAAAACTTTTAATTTAGTTGTATCAAGGAAGCCAGAACTATGAGAAGTACTTTATGATGGAATCAGAAATCCGAGTGAAATGTAGATCGCAATAAAGATGTTGCACTACTTACAATCCCTTGGAAATATGCTCGCAGTGACATGGCTATGGCGAAGTGTCCACATTAAATTTAGATGAACAGCTTTGCCTCACTTTGAATTAAGGCATAAAAAACTTCTGAGAGATTTGAACCTAATCAGTTCACTGTAATTTACTTTTCCCATCTCATTAAGGCCATAAATTAATGTCTTATAAATTTTCTTACTTGTTATTATTATATATCATTATATGTTACTTGTCGTTTGGGTTCCTAGTTGAACATACGGCTTCAGTAGCACGTCAACATTTCACTCTCTTCTCTACAGTCTCTTAAACCTGGTTCCACAACAGCCCACAAGCTCTCATTTCTTCCTCACACCATCTCCTCCATGTCACCCTCACCTCGGACGCCCAACTCGTCATTTCCCCTTTGCCTGCCACTCGAGGACCTGGCCTGGCACGTGATGTCTCCAAATGGTCCTCTCAGTGTATGTCCAATCCAATCCAAACCGATCCATCTCCACTTTCTTCCAGTGCATATTTGTTGGGGGATGGGCTGTCGGTTGGTTGGTTGATTGCCATACCGGCCAGAGTTTTTTGTTATTTATTCTTATCAGTTTGGGCATCTGATCTGATCTTCAGTATGGAGTGAGTGTAGGTGGTAGTTGTTGATGTATGTGTGTAGTTTATTGGGAATGCGTTTCGTGACGCTCGAAATCTCTCAACCATCATATAGAAGCACTGAATTGACATTAGTGTTGAAAGTCCGGATCTTGTTCTTTGTGCTGGGTGCAGTGGTTCTCCACACTGATTTAAAATTAATGAAGATCTGTCTTTCCGATCCTTGCTTTGACGTCCTCATCTGTGACTGTGCGGCCTGTAGTTGAGACGATGCTGCCTAGGTGGGTGGGTAGGTGAGAGAGACTACTTCCTTGACATTTCTCTCGTTGATGGTGATTGGTGCTTGTTGTTGTTGTTGTTAGGTGGGTGGGTGGGTATCTTCATCACCTGTGTCTTCTATACGTTTACTTGAAATCCCGTTTTCGTTTCCTCTTCTGTCAACTTGTTAGTTTTCGCTTGTAGATCTTTGAGTTTGTGTGACGTTAGACATAAATGATCATGTGTGAAATGCAAATCCTTTTCTGTGGTCTTTTCACCGGTCAAACAGCGTATGCCTCTTTTCTCGCTCCTCGAGATTTGCTGCATGATCCAGCCCACCACAATCATGAAGATGATCGGTGATAGCAGGCAGCCTTGTCTTACGTGTCAGCCTGTCTTCACCTCACTTCGAAGGCATCACTGAGCTTCCCATTGTGAATTACTTGGCATGTGGCGTTTTCATATAGTTGTTGAATGAGATTGATAAAAGTTTGTGGCACTCTGTAGTTTTGAAGCAACTGCCAAATTACTTGTCGGTCGACGCTGTCGAAGGCCTTTTCGAAGTCGATGAAGTTGAGGTAGTGAGTTGACTGCCATTCTATGCTCTGTTCTATGATGATGCGTGCTTTGAAGGTTCTTTAGCGATCGGATTGGTTTACGGGGTAGTGTTTCTAGCACTATGCTCAAACTTTCCTCTTTATCCGCGCTTAGGACCGGTTAGTAAACCAACCAACCAGTAAACCAGGCGGTGTTCTCTTACTTACTGGTTGATGTAAATATATGTTCAAGGTCACCTGAGAGTTGACCAATGACAACTGAACGTCCTTTACTCTAACCCGTTAACTTTTTCTGGTTTCATGATGAAACCTTCACGAAAACATTTGTCGATCTAAGTTTATATTTCATTTATTAAGTGTATCCCCAGGTTTGCCATCTGAAGTAGCCATTGTTTTATAGACGTGTATTGATACTGGGTGATGACTGAAGACAAAATAAAAATCTGGGCCGTGGCAGGATTCTAACCAGCGACCTATGAGTCACCAGTCCATTCCAATAATGTATTTACCTCAAAAGCGACTTATCTTTTTGCTGAACAATTCCACCCTATCTAAATGTCAAACATGACAAGAATTTATTTCAAAAAATATTTTTCTTTCTGACTGTTGAGATACAATTATATGGATGGAAACAAGTAACTGAACTGTTTTACCGCTTACAATGATTGATGATGGGGCCATCTGGGATAGTT